AGACAGACAGACAGACAGACAGACAGACAGACAGACAGACAGACAGACAGACAGATAGAGACAGAGGTAGAGCGAGCATTAAATGGTCTACAACAAGATGTCGTATAGATTTAAACAAAAACAATTCGGGTATGCCCCCTTTCTGATCCGGATCCGAAGTACAAAGGTGATCGAACGTGTATCGATAGTATAAATAGTTTTCTTAGAACTAGCATTTAAGGGGTGAGAATGGCGCTGCTTGGGATTATAACCCGGACGTGTTTGGTTGACCAGTGACGCGAGAAGACCACTTCGCAGTGATAAGAGACCGAACACTTTTTTTTCCGTACGCGGAGAGTTACCTGTCTATTCCTTGCACCTGAACACTAAGGTGTTGCCTAGGACGCGTTGTCATAGCATGCACTTTTTTTTAAAACAATCGTTGGCAATCACATTTACCGGTAGTCAGTCTTACCCTGGGGTTGCCTCAGCATTTTCAGGTTTGACTCTAGGAGGACACGTGAGACAGAGCAAGTAAATAGTGCTGTACAGACATCAAAAAATTAATACCAACTTGGGTAAGTCTGTTGTTGCGTAAGTTAAGTAAGTAACCGTAGATCTGTGACAGTCGATTTCTTTTTGTTTATTTCTCGTACATTTTATAGGGTTTTACCATCTTCGAGGCGTTAGTAATAAATTACCCCCTCCCCCCCCCCATGGTTCCTGTTAAAAGATATGAGTAACCCAGACCACGAGGCAATAAAGAACAAGATGGCCACCAAATTGCAAAATTCAATGTTACTTATTGGCGTTTGAGTGTTCAAATCTTTTCCACGACAACCAGCAGCATATTTTATTTCTGTTAACTGTGGCCTTTTGTGTCTTTTTTTTTTGGTCCTTGCCCTTTTCTATGATATTGACGCCATCTGAAACGTAGAAAAATGTGCGTATGAGAGTGCCCAATAGAGTATAACGTACATATTTGTTAAACAAAGTCGTTGTTGTCGTTGTTGTAGTTGTTGTTGTTGTTGTTGTTGTTGTTGTCGTTGTTGTTGTTGTTGTTGTTGTTGTTGTTGTTGTTGTTGTTGTCGTTGTTGTCGTCGTTGTTATTGTTTTAGTTGTTGTTGCTGTTATTATTATTATTATTATCATTATCATTATTAT